GGATATTGTGATGCAGATTGGGCAGGGTGCATTGATGATCGGAGAAGCACGTCTGGAGGGTGTTTCTTTCTAGGTAACAACATGGTGTCTTGGCACAGCAAGAAACAAAACTGTGTGTCTCTCTCAACAGCTGAAGCTGAGTACATTGCCTTGGGGAGTTGTTGCACTCAACTTCTTTGGATGAGACAAATGCTGGTGGACTATGGTATTAATTCGGATCCCTTATTAGTCCATTGCGATAACATGAGTGCTATAAATCTGTCTAAAAATCCTGTGCAACACTCTCGTACTAAGCATGTTGATCTTAGACACCACTTTGTTCGTGAGTTAGTTGAGTNGATATTTTCACAAAGCCTCTTGATTTTAATAGCTTTTTGGGTCTCCGAAAAGCTCTTGGAATCGTTGATCTTCAGCAATGAAGAAAGCTGTTCTGACAAGAAGGTAAGTCCGTATTGAAATCGCATAAGTCTAAGGTACCTTCTCCCCTAAAAACTTTATAGTAACAATTTGTCTAGTTAGATTCGAGATACTGTCTTATAAGCTGTCACACTCACACTGTCTCGTAGTGAAGGACACTCACTTTGGATCAGGATGCTACAACATTTTGACACTAAGGAATGATCACTGTCTGGAGTGGATGGAGAAAACACTAGTCATGTCGTGTGTAACACATCCGAAAATGTGTGTTACACAATGCGTAAGGCCTAAAATGATGAGCACTCGTTCTGAATCAGGGTGCTACAACACTTTGTCTTTTGGTGACGATCACTGCTTTGATTAGGCAGAGATTGTTGTCTCTGAGGATTAAGATTAAGAAGTAGAGGAAGGATCATTCAAAAGGCCTGAAGTGATAAGCACTCATCATGGAATAGGGTATCACCGTACTTTACATCTATGGTGATCACTGTTTTGATCAGGCAGGAACTGCAATATGTTCTTGTTGCTCATATTTAAAAAAAAAAAAAAAAAAAAAAAAAAAAAAAAAAAAAATGTGCTTGATAAAGATTCACCGAAGTTGTAGAGGTGAACATCAAATAGACATGACTGGTGGTTTCAGAAGTGTGTGAGTGTGAGTAACTTGTGAGATAGGAGCTTGATTATCTAGCTAGATGAATCCGTTTGTGACAGCTACTCGGCTGAGAAATAGCTACAGATTGGAGTTACTATAATGATTTATATTCGTTTGTTCTTTTTGAAGGTTACCTAGTCATATGTGAAACTAGATGTGGACTTGCAATCTTTTTGGAACAGTAGCTAAGAGCATGTAAATAGATTATCTGTCAAATGTTGGTGCTTTAATAAAGTTGATTCTTAGAATAGGTATGTTCGATTAAGACTAGAAGATCTCATTAACTGAATGAATGTGTCTTGCTTAGAGTGTTTCTCATGAAAAAGACTATGATTAGAAGAAAACTCGATTGCAAGAACTATTGGGCCGATTTAAGGGTCGCTTTAATTACTAATGCACTAATGGGCTTTGCCAAAAGTGGTGTATTTGTTTTTGTGTCTCTTGTTTCCCCCTTAGGTTCTATCGCCGCCGCGGATCTCATCTTTGCTCATCTCTCTCGACATGCATCAGCGAACTCGCTCTCGTCGAGGAACCTCCGGGTCTCCGCAAACTCCTTCCTCCGATCCAACATCTGGCACTCCTAAGAAGAGATCTCGCTCTGAAGCTGGTGAATCAAGTCGACGCCGATCGTGTGAGCCTATCTCCTTTCTTCCCAAAGAACAACGATATGAAGAAGGCCGCCGCTTGTTCGAGGAGACGCTCCAAGAAGATCCTGAGAGTTATCAACCTCCGGCTGAGCCATACAGTCCTATGTTTGCCACCGAGGGAGCGTATGAACGATACCTGAAGTTTGCCGATAAGAAGTTCATCGATCATCAGTATCTTCCCCTCGATGATGAGAAGCTGCAGGAAGTCAAGAATGTTGTGGTTCAGTCTGGGATGATTTACACAGCCATTGATGGTGAGCCGTATGTTCCTGATCTTGTGTGGGAGTTCTTAGCAAATCTCCTAGACGCTACGAATGTCCGTGATGGTGGTGGAGTGGCTGTCTATGTGCGTGGAGCCATGTATGAGGTATCTCCGAGCATGATTGATCTTATGTATGCTCTGAGCCCCGGAGATCCTAACTACGATATGTACTCCGAGAATCTTGATACTGTGGTCACGTTTCTCACTGAGGGACGACATCAAAGGTGGGAAGGAATGTGCTCAAAACTCCTCACTTCTGACAATCAAGTGTTGTACAAGCTCTGTTGTACAAATTGGATGCCTACAATGAACTACACTCGCATGCATGCAGATCGTCTCAGGCTTCTCTACGCGCTTCATCATAACAAGCGAGCTGACTTTGGTGTTATCGCATATGGACAGCTAATGGAGATGGCTCACTCAGCTGACGATCGTAAGAGAAGAATTGGGTTTCCTTCTCTCATTCATCAGTTGTTGCATTTTCAGCGGGTTGTACCTCGTCATGAAAGAGATGAAGAGCTCACAGGACATCCCACTGCTCTTGTCAAAGATGGTAAAGCTGGCAGAGGTATAGGGGNGTTGTTGCATTTTCAGCGGGTTGTACCTCGTCATGAAAGAGATGAAGAGCTCACAGGACATCCCACTGCTCTTGTCAAAGATGGTAAAGCTGGCAGAGGTATAGGGGGAGTCAGCAAGCCACCTAATCTGGTCGACGATCTTCAGAAGGTTATCAATGACATCCGAGCAATTCAACTTCGCAGTCGTCGTAAGTGTTTTTCCTCTCCTTATCTTTTATTTGTCTCACATGATTGTTTTATCTAATGATGCACTCAAGCAGGGGGAGAGTATGTTGGAGAGCCAGTGCATATCATTGATAGCGGTGATGAGGAGGAGGAGGAGTAGTATCTCTAGATAGTTTCTAGGTTGCCGTATGATGTTTGTTTCGGTTTCAATTATGCAGTGTGTTTTGAGAGTTTCTAGGAACTAAGCGGTGTGTAACCATGAATGATCTAGACTTATTTCTTCAATGAATGCATTTGATTTCTGATTTACTGTGTGATGGTGCAAGTGCTGTGCGTGTAGTGCTTTGCGTGTGTGTTTTCATGACAGGTGCTTGAGATGTCACATTAAGATAAAAAGGGGGAGAATGTAAGCTCAGGGTTCTGAGCTGGATGATTGGAGTGTCACACAGACAGGAGACTGTGTCACACACGAGTAAGCTCAAGTTGAGTTGAGCGAAAAAGGCTGAGGTGTTACACAACGTGGAGCAAGTGTTACACCAAGAGCGAAATACAAGGAGCCGTTTGGAAGATAATGACCCAAGATTCTAGGATGTTTGTTAGGGAACAAACAAGAAGATATTGAGAGAATCTGTACTTATCACAATAGGATACGCAAGTATATATTGGTGATAGAGTTCATTAGCTAGGTTACGGCTTTTGGGATTTCTGATTGTAATCGAGCTTAAGTGTTCAAAGCTGCGATTCTAAGTGAGCAAGTGGTGAGGTCTGTCTCGACCACTGTGCATTTGGGTAGATTAAGAATTGGTCCGTCTCAAGTCAAGTGTGTGACGTTGAGTAAATCGGATTAAACAGATCTTGTAGGATTGTTTAAGTGATTCTTAATAAATCAAGTTGTTTTTCTTGGATTCGGTCAAGTGACTCTTTTGTGGTGTCTATACGAAATTTCATTATATCATACAAGGACTAAAATCTAGTTTCGTCTTGAGATTAGATCTATTTGTCCAGCAAAACTAAAAACACAAGCCCGATCTCTTCTTTAAGGCTGAACAAGAACTTACTCCAAAAAGACTGAACCAATTGTTTTTTACCCGGTGATGATTGGCCAGTATGGTGGCCGCTCGGTTAGGATGGTGAAATCTAATTACAGACATTCGTGCTTCTCCATCATGGCTAGGATTTTCTCGAGACATCCACATTCTGATCCTTAAATCCATTAGCAGGCTTCCCTCGATCAGACATTACTCTTCTAAGCTTATGTGATGATGAAAACACTTTAATCGATTTGAGTTTACCTTCAAACTTGCAAACTGATCTTGAGAGCTTTAAAGGGTCAGTAGGAGAAGGTGCAGATGTGAGATGTAAAGTACCTTTAAAAAAGAAAGCAAAGGTTTGAGAACAAAACTAAATGACCTCTTTGGTTTTTATTGCATTTTCTGTACTAAATAGCCAGCTGAAGCGTTATTCTAAAGTTTTTTTTGGTTAAAATATATTCTAAACTTGGGGTCAGAGGTGAACATCTTTGACGGCAAATATAGAGCAAAGTCTTCACTTGGGAATAACGAATGAAGTCAGTTTCTTCTCACCCAAGGAAACTTCAAATCCGTTCGTAAACACAAAGTTGTTTCATGTTCATAACTTAAAACAAAATAGTTCGACTCGTTCTGGTTTACTCAACATTGACTCTGTTCGATAATTGACAAGTCAGGAGACTAGGAAAAAGTAACGTAAGTGACACATTACTATTGATGTATTGAAAACTATACGGCCTAAGCATCATTTTCTTATAGAATACCCAAGCTTCATAGGAAAAACATATAAATTATTTTCAGATTATTAAAAAGGGCCCTTTTTTTCAAGTATGCTCGACAGAAATTTTATTATCCAATGATTTGCAAAAGACTTATTCGTTTCAACTCTTTCGCGCTTTACTTCTAAGTATGTTACGTGACCATCACGTCGTCAAGCTAACCGACTCTAACCCTAAAAATCCTTGCCGCCTCTTGTCATCAAATCTTCTTCAGTTTATTTGTCCTCTCTGTTTCTTTTTCTTTCTCAAGAAATTCTTTAGAAAGTCTCAATAATAAAATCATTAATTCTCAAGTGTCAGACTTTTCCAGTTTTGTTTGTTGTGTTTGGATAAATTTGAAAAAAGAAAAGAGATTGTTTATAATTCTTAATTTCCTTTTTTTTTTCTTTTTTTCCTTTTTTCCACGGTAATCTATATAAGCCTTTTTAACCTCTTTGTCTCACTTTGTGTCACCCCAAAGAGAAAGAAAACAATGAAAAAAAAATTATCGAGGAAGGAAAGGAAGAGGAGGAACAAGAACAAGAACAAGGTGTGTGGTGGGTTATCGTATTTGCCAGAGGATGTGGTTGCGAAGTGCCTGGTTCATTTATCGAGATTGGACCTCGCGGCCTTAGCTATGACCTCCAAGGCACACCGGTCTCTCAACCTCCTCTCGTCTATGGGGCTTGAGATGGCGGACGAAGCGCATCGAGCCATCTTACTACGTGTGCTTGCACATATTTCCAGAAACCTTCCCAAGGTGGTTCATCCTTCACCCGGTGAAACGTCAGCTGAAACCGCTCCTCCGGCTCTGGTGTACAGAGTCAGGTTCCTCTTTTATGGTAGTGGATTGGGGTATATATATAATCGGTGGACTCTTAAACGGCAAACCAACATCGAATGTCACCATGTTCGATTGTTTCGACCATGGGTGGTACAAAATCCCACCCATGAAGATGCCTCGTGCTTTCGCCTCAGCGAGCATAATCGACGGGAAGCTATACGTGTTTGGAGGGTGCGGGGATGACGTTGATTCCTCAAACTGGGCAGAGGTATACAATTTCCGCACCTATACTTGGGATACCGTGTGTGTGCCTCCTACGGCTCGGCCGAAGAGTATCAAAGAAATCGTGGGGACAGGCAAGAAGGAGGTTTACGTGGTGGATGAGGATTGTCAAATCTTCTCCTTCTCTCCAAGCAAACTTCCTCCTATGTTTGTGTCATGCGGAAAAACAGATTCTAAGCCAGGAGACAGAGAGGACTGGTGTTTCTTTGGAGGATTCATATTTGCCCGTGGTGCCGGCGGGACAATACTGTGGTGTTTGCCAGACCAGTTGGATTGGAAGGAAGTCAAAGGTTTGGAAGAACTGCAACAACAGTTGGTTGGATACGATATCAGCAAACTCTCCACAAACCATGCCCACATTGTCATCTTCTGGAACGCCCAGCCTCAAGGTTCTGAGAGTTTGGAGCTTTGGTCTGCGGAGATTTCTCTAACGCAAACCGAGACAAGCCAGGGACTAGAGATTCGGGGGAAGATCGAGTGGTCCGGTTCTGTCTACAAACTCGACGACTACACTCTCACAGACTCAAATAGAGTTAAGGTCTTGTTTGCTGCTAGTGTCTATGCCTGATGTTCAATGTTTCTCACCTCCTTGGTTCAAACTATATATTTATTTATATCTAAAAGTTGTTTTACGCATCTTTGTCTGCATTTTTAATTTATATAGTATTTGCAATTGAGTCAGAACCAAGATACATTTATCTCTTGTGCTCGTCCCTTTTGTCAAAGTGTTTTAGATTCAGAGATTGCAAGATATTATTGATATTTTCATTGACATGCCTAATTGTTAAAGTCTATGCTTACTACTCTGTTTATGGGTGGTATTATAGAATGATGAATGCCTCTATTTACGAGACAACTATAGTAAAATCTTCAGCTTGTGCTTTCTCCCGTAGTAAAGAAGCTGAATCCTAAAAATGTTATCCCATAATCGAGGAGACCATAAGAAACAACCAAACCTCTTGAGCTTCTGAGCAGTCCGGTAGAGTTTCTCATCATAAAAATCTGGATACCGTTCCTGGAAAAAAAGGAGTTAAGTTACGTAAATTTGCTCTTGCCATTACAAATTACACATTTTTATCCTACTTAATATTTTTAGCAAAACATATGGTGGTCATCCAAATGTAGTTAATAATATTTTGTAAATTACTAAATTTACAAAAGTGTGTTTGTTTTTGCTTGTGGAAGCTGAAGCTTTGACTTTAGTAAAATGTGTTACTATCAAACGCCAAATCATTGATAGATGGAAACAGAATGTTACTGTCACCCTGATAATAAGGAGGCAAATCTCTTTCTTCATTCTCATGTAAACCATGGGGTTCAAACCCGTTGTTGTGAGGTGCGTTCACTTCTATCTGAGTATAGATAAGGTCTTGTTCCTGATTATTCACAAACACTGCAGAGGGGTTATAGAAGTTGTAACCTGACCCAAATTGCAAATTCTGGTTAGGGTTTGGTCAGTGAAGCATTGGTTTTTCTACAGGCATCATAGCTTGTCCATTAATTGACAGGTTAAAGATAATTATAGTTATTATCAAACTCAAGAACCAACACATCCAGAACGTTCTCCTCTGGTCCTAAGGCGATGTTTTGTTCCAAAACTCCTTCCCCATGGTGATGAGGACCGTTCGAGCATAGGGGCATCAACATGATCCATATCAGGTAATATATTTCTCTGTTCAGCGTCTGGTTGTTCTTCATCTTGGTCTTTTCCTTCTCCTGTGTTTCTCTCCTTTATTTTGATCTCTTATTGTTTGCGAGGTGGCTGTTACTGAACCTGAAGCCTCCTCAGTGGTAAACAGTGACAGTGAGTGTGGTGTTGAAGCGACAGCGGAGGCTTCAGATTCAGTAATAGCCACCTCGCAGCCAGTAAGAGATCAAGATAAAACAGAGAAACACAGGAGAAGGAAAAGACCAAGAATCAGATCAGAAGCTGAACAATGAAATATGAATCATGTTGATGCCTCTCTGCTAGGATGTAACATCAACGGTACTCATCACCATGAGGAAGGTGTTTTGGAACCAAACATCGCCTTAGGACCAGAGGAGAACGGTCTGGAAGTGATTGTTCCTGATTTTGATAGCAACTATAATTATCTTCCACCTATTAGTGGACAAGCTATGATGCTTATAGACAAAAGAACAACTCTTTACGGAGCAAACCCTAACCAGGAGTTTTGCAGTTTGGGTCTTCTATAATCCTTCTGCAGTGTTTGTGAATAATCAGGAACGAGACCTTATCTATACACAGGTAATAATGAATGCACCACACAACAACGAGTTTGAATCCCATGGTTTAGATGGAAATGAAGAAAGAGACATGCCTCCTCGGTTTCAGGTTTCAGAGTGATAGTAAGATTAGTTATAAGCAAAAGAATGAATTATTTTGCAAAATTGAAGAACGATTACAGTAGATGTTAGTTATAAAAATCTCAAGGATTCTCAAGTCAAACACAAGTATCAAACTGAAGAGCGATTACAGTAGATACTCATTATAAGCAAAAGAATGAAGTATTTTGCAAAAAAAAATATCAAAAAGTTGTTTCCTAAAAAAAGAAGTCAATTTTGATTTTGTTCTTCCTCTTTTCATCATCATCCTTGATCCAGACAGTGGCATACTCTACACAAGTCATCCTTGGCAAAACAGTGGGTTGTAGTGGCTGTTGTATGCCTTGACCCTGCTTGCCAAGGCCAGAACCAGGGATATAGCTCATCAAGCTCATCAACTTGGCCTTCTTCTCTCTTGCTGCTGGAAAATCTGCATCATATTTTCTAACCATGGCGAAAGCTCTTTTCCAAAAAGCCCTCCTCCTAACAACTTTTCCAAAAACCGCAGACACAGGTTCTACTTTCGCTTCTCCTGCAACCAGCTCGCCCACTACCTTCAAATCCAGAGTTAATGTCTGGTGCATCATGGTACTTCTCTCTGTTCTCAATGCTTGGTAGCTCTTCACAAAGTGGAATTTCATGTGGAGGGGTGAAATCCAAAAATGAATTTGACTTGTTTCATTGATAGAATCAATGATAAATAAGCAAATACGGGGTATTGGCCTTCCAAATAATAAAGATCGCAACTTTTTAGAAAGAGAGACCATAAATATCAGAAAGAATCTCGTAAGCAACGTAATCTTCAATTTTGCCAAAAAAATTAGAAAACTCTATTGAAACTCTAATCTTTTGAATCTGTAAAAAAGGAAACGCAAATTTTGCTAACATTAACTTTCCTAATAAGGACACAAATTTTGCACAAAATTGGAAATCGAAATAACTCGATTGAAACCGTATCTTTAGGAATTTACCTCTCGTTATATCCCTGGCTCTGGCCTAGCAAGTGACTTGTGTAGAGTATGCCACTGCCTAGATCAAGAAGGATGAGGAGAAGAAGAAGCGAGATTGACTAGTTTTTTTTTGGAGACAACATTTTGATACTGTTTGCAAAATTCTCCATTCTTTTGCTTATAACTAACACCTATTGTAATCGTTCTTCATTTTGATACTTGTGCTTGACTGGTTTTGGCAACACCATTTCCTATCTTTACTTCCTTTATCTTCCATTACCTGTTTTGTATTCTCTACTAAGGATCAATATCATCTTTCAGTACTTTTAGTCTTTTACGTTTGTTTTAGAAGAGGTTATTCTGTATGTTTCATAACGTTAAAATGAAATCAAGAAACAGAACAATGAAAAAACAACACTCTTTGTTTAATAATCACTTCTTTAAATATCAAGACAAACTAGTCAATGTAGGATATAACGTAACAGCTTCTTCTTCTTGTCACTCTCAAGTGTCCATGGTTCTTGGTGGCTGGTTCCCTTCACCATTTCCTGAAATTATATTAGTTTGCTATAAAACACAAAGCTTGTTACGTTATATCCTACAAGGTCCAGTTCCAATAAAACAACAAATAGTCCAAAATTATATACATTCCCAACTTATGTAATCAACAATACGAAGTGACTGAGGCATTGGTTTGATTTAACTTACTCTCCATCGCAGTCGCAGCCATATCTACAAGGTGTGGCGTGGACCGTGTAATCTATCTTCTCCATGATATCTTGATATATAGATCTATTTGTCCTACAAAACCAACATCACAAACTCTCTTCTTTAAGGCCGAACAAGACATACTCCAGAAGGACTGAACCAATTGTTTTGTATCTGGTGATGATTGGCCAGTATGGTAACCCCTCGGTTATGTTGGTGAAATCAAAAGACATTCGTGCTTCACCATCATGGTTAGATTTTCTCAAGACATCCACACTTTGATCATTAAATCCATTAGGAGGCTTCCATCGTTCAGACATCACTTTTCTAAGCTTATGTGCTGGTGACAACACTTTAATAGTTTTGAGTTTACTGTCAAAATTGCAAGCTGGTCTTAAGAGCTTTAAAGGGTCAGTAGGAGAAGGTGCAGATGTGAGATGTAGAGTACCTTTAGAAAAAGTAAAGGTTTGAGAACCAAACTAATTAAATGACCTCTTTGGTTTTATTGCGTTCTCATGCTGAATCGATATTCTGGACTTGGGCTCATAGGTGAACATCTTTGACAGCAAATCTAGAGCAACTTCACTAACTAATGGGAATAATGGACGAAGTCAGTTTCTTCACACCCAAGGAAACTTCAAATCCGCTCGTAAACATGGAATCGTTTCAGGTTCATAACTAAAAAAGTAAAAACGAGACTGTTCGACTCGGTATGGTTTACTCAACATTGACTTGGTTCGGTATTTGACAAGTCAGGGGACTAGGAAAAGGTATTGATCTATTAGAAAATCTGTATGTACGGCCCAAGCATCGTTTTCTTATAGAATGGCCCAAGCTTCATAGGGAACATCGGCGTGAAGATGAATTGTGTAATAAAAACCAGACTTGATGTGAGTATCTCGTGTTTTTTTTTAATTTGGTAGGCCAGCAACAGTTTCAATGTAGACAATCCAAAAACACATTGTTCGTCATAAAATAATGAATAACTAGGTGTTTTAGCCGCACATGCAGACATAATAATTTTACAAATATTTTAAAGTGAATACATTATCAATTGAAATAAAATAAAATAAATTAATATTCATATACTTAAAATATTAATAAAAATTAGACAATAAATTCTTTATATAGAATTTTTTTTTATCGTAACATGCATTTTTTTTTATCACGTAACATAAACTAAAAATACTAATACTTTTGAAATATTTTACATATGACCAAATTTGTCAATATAATAAAATTATATTTTATTGCATAAAATAAATTTGAAAACCTTAATATATGCATTAATATTATATACAATATACGTAGATATTTATCTTTTATAAATTTAAAACATTAAAAAAATATAATGTAAAATATTTTTTTTAATAACACAACATAAACTATTTTTATATAAGGATGATTATCAAATCAATGAATTTGTTTTGAATTTATGATTAATTATATATTAACAGATAAAATAATATAATTTATTTAGATAAAGATAATTATCAAATCAATGAAAAATTATTTTTAGATAATGATAATCGTCTAATCAATGAATTTTATTTTTAATTAAGTTTAATTATATATTAATATGTTTTAATTTATAATTATTTATATATTAATAAATTTAATTATTAAATAAGAGTAATAATTGATCATTTAATAAAGAATATAAAAATATAACAAATAAGCAAAACTATCTAAAATTATGGAAAACATAATAACTAAATAAATTTACTTCTATTATATAGATTTGGTAGGCCAGCAACAGTGTCAAAGTAGACCACCTTAATATTGTAGTGGACTAGTGGTTGGTAGAAATAATTAATTATTTTATAAATAGTTATAAATCTTTGCAGAAAAAGAAACACAAAAGCCAAAGAAGGACGCATGTGACGCGTAGGGAATCTAACACTAAACAATGTCCGACACTGCCCATTTCTCTTCAGATGCATCCACCTCTTTATTTCTTTCCTTCTTTCTTCGATATTTTTATCCTTTTCTGTAATAACGAATATCTAATCTACTATAAAAATAACTCTCTATCTAAGTATCTATCAATTCTCCCAAAAACTTGACGTGTCTTCTCTCTCCTTCTCTTTAAATCTGCTTCGAGTTAATTAGGGTTTCTTCATCTCTTTCTTCCTATAGCCTCTTCGAAGTTCTTTAATCTAAGTTTATTTCGTTTTATTTTACTTAGTTCTGTTGAGTTAAGATGGTTGAATATATGTATTGATGTTTATGTCGTAGTATATATAAATTATGTACAAGATCGAATTTCTTTATCCAAGCTTTCATCAAACGTTTCTTTTTTGCTAAAATCATATATATATATATATATATATATATATATATATATATATATCATTTTTAAAGAAGCTAAATGATTATATGATGGCAGTCTTTAGTTTTATACTCTCTTCCTTTTTATTTTGTGGCTTAAACTTATAGGATTATGTTTATATTTAACAGAAAATTTCAATAGCTTCGTTCATATGAGTTAAGATATCTTGAGCTAGCCTACATAGCTTGTCAGATCTGAGGCTTATCATAAATGGATCTTGATTTGACAAGCATCGTTGTGTTTTGTTAGATCTTGGCCTTCCAATATGATTTTCACAAGAACAGTAAAAAGAAAAGAAGTAGAGCTCCTTAAAGTTCAAACGAGAGTTTAGCAGGGTAAAGAAAAGCTGCTAAGCTATGGATCCCATAAGCCCTAATCCTTATACAGAGAAGAGGATTTGGTTATATGGCTTGCATATCTCAGGAGCTTTAACTTGCCCTTTAATGGCTTTTACTCTTCTTTGGATTGAAGGGAGCTCTACATCTTCTTTCAGTATTTATCTAGATTTATTTCTCTACAGTAATGAATGAATTTACTGTTGATTTTGAGTTTTCTGTATTGAAAAGCATCCCTCAGAAGAACGGTCCTGGTTAATTTTGCAGATGCTGTTTTTTTTTTTTTATGGTGATTTGTTTGATTCTTGAGCGATGTATAAGTAATTAGCATTTATGAAAATTCTTCAGTATATGCGAAGATCCATATTTATTTGTAACTGTCTAAATGTTCTGGTTCTTTATCATCAAATGCAAATGCCTTTCTTTTTTTATGATCATATATATTTCTTGGTCAATCTCAGTGTTTTAACTATTGCGATCCGCATAAACTCTTCCCATATCAATCAGAAATAAAGGATCTGAAGATTTTATAATCCATTTGTATTGCGATAATTAATTAAGAAAAGTAAAAGCATTGAAGGATAGATAAATAATTTATTTTAAAAATAACAATAATAATTTAATTAATTGAATAATTGTAACTTGAGGAATACAATAAGTTCACTGAATAGTGGCTCTGTAAGCGATATCTAAATTGATTAAAGGCTGTACAATGGTCTAGAGTAGAACGTCTAACAATACTGCATATATGTACGATCACTTGTTCAGAGAGAATAGGTAGCAGTTTCTTTATTATTGCTCAAAAGGGTAATGACTAAGCAGTAACTTTCTGTTTTTTTTCTTTTTTTTAGCTAAAATTTGGATGGGTACGAGTTTTAAACTTGCGTTAAATGAATATTTCGCTAGAGGAGGGCTCGGTCCCCATTCAAAGGTATTTTATACTATCTTTTTTTTGGTCGAACCATTACTTCATTAATTTCCAGACATGCTTGAAACTAAAAATATATTTTAGGCTTATCTTTTAATAATCAACAATAAATATTAAAAAGTAGTTTAAGAGAACCGAACCTAATATTTACATCTCACTCAATCTAGGGGGGATTTTCTGAAAATTGAAAGCCGAAATGATAAATATATTAAAAATGACCGGAAACACATGCTTTTATGGCTTATATCCAGAACTGCCACGGTTTCCAGAAAGAGTCTTACACACTAGGATGGGAGTTTTGAGCTGAGAAGGGAGCCTCTTTGGCTAAGCCATCAGCCGCTACATTACATTGACAAGAAATAAACTTAAAAAAGATAGAAGTCAGGGAAGTACTCAACACAGCAATGTTATGGAGGATCTCTTGGAGAGAAATCACAGATTCTTGTGATTAAGTTGATTAGACTTTTTGCATCTGAGAAACAAACCAAGACTTTAACACCTTGTTCAATGGCTGCTTGTAAACCTGCTTTAAGCGCCTTTGCCTCCGCAACTAGTATCTTATTTTACAAGTTTCTGATAATACACTTCAGAAACGTAGATGCAATACAAAATTCAGTGATTAACTAATGAACTGTAAGCAGAACTCTTGGCGATATAGATTGGCCACCACACAAGACATGATTGGTATGAATGAACTATTTCTTAAAATACGCCGTGCATGAATTGCAGCTGGGATAATTTACTTAAAACAGAAATCAAGACCATGTGCACGTAAAGTTTACATTCAATTTAATGAAATTGAATATGTTTAGAGCAAGTTTTAAATAAAAAAATTGCATCTTTTGTTATCAATATTGGTGGTGTCCTGTCACGATCATCTAAAAAATCTGATTGCGTTACTTAAACAAATTTCAGATTTCAAAATTAATTAAATTTGCCACCAGCCAATATTCTGATAATATAATAGAGAGCCATATATTAAATATGCTTTCTATTTTAATATAAAAATCGAGATTCAAGCAGAAAACAGATATATGTCATAGTTAAGAGGTTATCTACACATTTATTAGTCACGAATTTTTCGCTCTCACTCATTCATTTCATCTAAGTCAACCCTTACGACACACCACTATCAAAGTTCAATTTCTCATAAGAAATCTATAAACATGCCGGTTAAATATTTAGGAGTTTGAATCCATCTATAGGCTAAACCACCATTTTGAAAATTAGTTTGGATTTATCTATCCTTCTGGAATACCAAGGTTGAAAAAAAAACATGGCGGTTAAATATTGCGCTATAGTGGTTGTAATTAAGTATCTACATATCTTACCTGGAAAAATAAAAACCATGGTCTACTTCTCATACCAATACCTGACTTCGTTTAAGGAAAAAAAAACCTACGTATGTTATACGACATAAGTACGAACCAGTAACAAATACATTATCACTTTATAGCTATAATGTTCAATATCTTTCGTTTCGTGAAAATTTGGTTAATCACTGACTATATAATAGTATCGATAAAAGCTTGAAGAATGGTTAAGAAACACAACGTACCTATAACTAAATGTTCAACCCCTCAAAAAAATTGTTTTCGAAGATTCGAAAATATTTCAAACTTTTGGACTTTGATTTTAATTCGTGTATTCATTTCAACTTTGCTAGAAGTAGAGTGATGGCTAAATGCTCAAGAAGCTCTTAGAGATTGGATGCCATGGTCCTTT